GCCTATCTGACTACGCTACACATTCTGTTTAGTTTGTTTTCCTTAACCCTCGTTGGGGAATTCAGGCTTAACAGTTTCTAATGATCACACTTACTATGAATACAATTTTAAATATATGTCTCATAGAGTTACTTAATATCTAGTAGGGAGTTGCAAATTTTATCAGACTTGGAGCAGAACATTCTGGAGAATTTCTTTCTGGACTATGTTAACCTGCAGGACAATTCAGTAGGAACGGTTTGTTTCTGGAAACCATCCTGGAACAGCATGGACTACAGGTTTTGTTCTAGAATTCTTCAGAATGTTCTTTTGCTTAAATCAATGACTTTAGACATCCCAAAAAGCTTGTTTGGTAATGCACTATATAACTCATTCAAGAATTTTCATAATATTTTTTCCCACGCCTACCTGAGAGAGATACTTGAAAATCTTGGGAGAATATTTGATGTACCTGGAATTTGAGTAAGATATTGAGACCAGAAGAGGAAATTGGAGATGAAGATATAATGAGACCTTCTGGTATCATCCATCTGTAATTTATTCCTCTCTTGAGTAACTCTTTAGTCAAAAATAAATATTCTCTTCTTATCTCTCTCACTCTTCTCAGTACCTGTTTCAGTACCACTATTTCTTTATCTTTGTACTTTAGTGTTTTCTTTCTTGCTGCCTGCAGTATTTGTGATTTAATTATTTTCTTAGTAAAACTGATATGAACTTCTCTTGGTAGTTTATTTCTCATCGCATATCTTGTGTAGACATGGAAAACCTCATCCATTCCATCCATCATCTTCTCTTTAGTTATCTCTAATGCTTCTGCCAAGATTTCTGTCATCATTTCAGCAAGGTTTTCACCCTTTTCTTCTATATTTTGGAATCTAAGATAGAATTCTGACCTATCGATTTCCCATCCCAGTGATCCCAGTGATCTGCTCTTGTCTCTTTCCACGTCACTCAGTCGGGTATCCATATCTCCAATCTTCTTATCTCTTTGTACATTTTGTTCTTCAATTTTCTTAATTCTGTCCTCATATTGCATCATCATCTGTTGGATATTTTCAATTTTCTCATCTGTCTTTTCAGTTCTTTGCTTGATATTCTCCATTCTCTTTTCAATATTTTCCGTTCTCTTTTTAATATTAACTGTTTTTGCTTGTATCTTTTGAATTCCTTGCATAATCATCTGGAGTGTCACTTCCTTCTCCTTCTCCTGTTGCAACATCATCTGTATTGATTGTTGCCCTCCAGATGGTGAGGAGGAAGAAGTCAAAATTGAAGAAGCTGAGGCTGGTATCTTTCTGCTCATCTTACAATGCTTGATAGGAAAAATGGGAAGAAAAAGCAAGAGCAGACAACTGCCACTCCAATAAAAAGTAAAAACAAAAAATAAATAAAAAGGAAGGGAAAAAATCTTCAGGCACTTGTATACCTTAATCGAATTGATTCCAATTATGTATAAAGAAAAAGAAAAAGAGGAAAAAATGTAAAATGAAGAAAAGATGAAAAAAATAAAAAAAAAATAAAAAAATAAAAAAGACATCTGTATATTCCCCTTGCTAAAAAGATAGAGCAAAAAGAGGAGGGGAGGAGAAAAAATGTAATCTAATTCCTGTATCAAAAGGCTAAAGTCCAAATATAAAAATCCAACTGGAGGGGAAGTAAAAAAAAGGAGGGATAAAATGCTATTCTGTCAGTAAGCAAAGCACTGCCACTAAATATCCGAGGCTCTTTACTAAATCAAAAAACAAAATTTCCAGTTCTCTTTTCAAGGTCACTTCAGACTTCTTTCTTTCAGTTTCCACTCCAGACTCCGGCATTAAAAGAAGTCATTAAAAAGTCATTAAAATGAAGAGAGAAAAAAAGAAAAAGAATCTTAACTAAGGAGTTATTTGAAAAAAATAAAAATTGAAAAAGAAAGACCACTCCAGTTTAAAAATTGAGAAGCTTTTACAAAAATCCAAGTTCCAATAAAAAGGGGAAAAAAGCCTTCAGGTTTAATTTGTGCTTAATCTCGCTGCTTAATCACTTTTATCTTCACTTTTAAATTTTACTTTGTCTTTTAGGGTGTTCTCTCCAAAAAATAGTAAGTAGAAATTTATCTCATCAAACTGACACACTTTCTTTCCAGCTTTCTTCCGTTCCGGAGCTGTCCCAGCTTCAGCAGCTTTAATGGCTGCCTCTCCACCACGGGAAAAAAGGGCTTCTCCTGGATCTACCAGGGACTTTGCAATGTCCCTGGGATCAACAGGATGTGCCCTTCTCAGTCACCGTCTCTACGAGACGGTTTAGTTCTGGTGGGACCGTCCTGCAATGGATATATCAGCGGTGATCAAGATTGCGCACTATACCTCCGTGATGCCAGCTCTGCCCTCTCCCCTCATTCAAGAATTTTCATAATATTTTTTCCCATGCCTACCTGAGAGAGATACTTGAAAATCTTGGGAGAATATTTGATGTGCCTGGAATTTGAGTAAGATATTGAGACCAGAAGAGGAAATTGGAGATGAAGATAGTCCAGTCTCAGTGCTTGTGCCTAAACTGGTTATAATTTAGTTGCTAGCTAGACAATACAGGTTATAAACTGTATCAGATACGTTCTGATACAGGTAATCCTTGACTTACGACTGTAATAGAGCCTGCCCATCATGGTCATAAGTTGTGACTGTCATAAAATGGCTCAGTGACAGGACCCAACCTGATTTTACAACCTTTATTGCAGTGGTTGTTAAGCCAATCTGTGGTCGTTAAGCAAAAGCATGGCCGTTAAGCAAATTAATGGTTAGTTATGGGTGCAGTTTTGCCGAAAACCGGAAGTGCTAGTTTGGAATTGCCAAAACTGGCATAACTGGGTGGGGGCAACCATTGGAACTTCAAATCTGGGTCATAAGTCTGTTGTAACTTTAAACGAGTGCTAAGCAACTAGATCCAAGTCAAGGACTACCTATATGTTCTGTATGTATCAAATATGTTCTGAATCCCATTATATATGAACAACATGAGTGTACTTCGTATAAGATTAAAAGAACATGGAATGATTTCTACTTCTTTTTTAATTTTACAGAAAAATATGCCGAAATTTAACAAAATTCCTTTCTACCTCCAACCTCATTCTTCTTCAGGAGCAAAAACATTAAAGAAGTAAGCACTGAGCAGAGAATCAAAATGATTGTAAGAGCATGGAAAAGTAAGCTCAATTCTGTTCAGCTCAGTCCCACAGCTCAACACCGAATCTCCTTTGTCTCTAGGGATCGGCTCTCAGCCAGTGATATGTTACAAGTTAGGAAGGTGATGGAGCATGTTTACGAAAAAATAATAAACCTAGACAATGAGTCTCAGATGACAAGCTCTTGCAATAATGAAAAAGCTGGGGAACAAGAAAAAGAGGAAGACATCACAGTTCTAGCAGAGGAGAAGATTGAACTCTTGTGTCAAGACCAGGTATGCAATTTTGAGCTCCTTACAGAAAGAAAGGGTGGGGTGGGACTAGGGAAAGTATAAATCAGTGTTTCCCAATCTTGGCCACTTGAAGATGTGTGGACTTTAACTCTTAGAATTCCCTAGCCAGCATTCTGAGAGTTAAAGTCTACACAACTTCAAGTGGCCAAGGTTGGGAAACATTGGTCTAAATATTCCAAACATTGTACTGTATTAAAAAAAGAGACAAGCTTGGTGGTCTTGAGGTTTGTAAATTACGTTGTATACTTCTGAGGGCCAAAATATGGCTTCTAGGCTCGTGCATCGGCATGCATATTTTCCAATGAAACAGACCAAGACAGGAAGATTATTTTATTACAATTTATTCAGAACATTCTGATTAAAAAGGATTTCCCTCTTTCATAGGGGGAACCTCAAGACCCATCTTACATTCCCTTTTATAGTTGAGACATCAAAGTAAATTACAAGATAAAGGTTGATTGGACAGGACAAAAGTAACCCCCCCCCCCCTTTGCATAAGAAATCAGTTACATGTAGTCAGGGATGGGATCCGACCGGTGTAACTACCGGTTCGGTGATTTTACATTTTGCTGCGCGCATGTGTATATCATCGTCACCTAGCTGCCTGGACAGCTGAGCAGTGCTGCGCGGGGGTGCGCAACAGTTGAAAAAGCACTTTTTTGCTGCTTTTTCAACCGCAGCTGTGTCGCGCAAAGCAGCTGCGGTTGAAAACACAAGAAATAAAGGTCAGGTAAGAGCCCAAGTGGGTGGGCCAAAACAGCAGCAGACATAGAACTGGTTCTATGTATGCTCTCTGTTTGCTGCTTTTCAGCGCAACCGGTTCTACAGAAGTGGACAGAACCGGTAGAATCCCACCCCTGCATGTAGTCAAACATGCTACATGTGTGTCCATTTAAATGAGGTCTGACAAGCAGGGGTGTAAGATGTTAATGAGGAAAAAAAGTCATAAGGTTGTTTGGAGTTCACCTAGAGACAACCCAGGTAACCAATTAGTGCTAGCAAGCTTTCTCATACCAGAAGAGAAACTCCAGACATCCAATTAAAGCAAAACACAGTCCCATCCTGTCCTGACCTGGGGAACAAAAAGTTTTTATCCTTTCAGTTTAGGAATGTTAGAAGCTATCAATTCATTCTACATTCCAGTCTGCAATGGTTTGATAAACCATTAAAATCATTTAAAAAGAGAGAAAAATAAGTCAAATTAAAATACAAAATAATTTTTAGTTAGCAAGTACAATACTACAGAGTCCATGTTGTTGGTACTACAGAGTCCATCCTGTGTGGCCCTCACTTCAGAGCTTTTGAACACTGACTCAACAGGTGCTCCCAAAGGGTTCTTCCCTGCCCCAAAGGTTGAAAACATATTGCATTAAATCATTATTCCTAAACCTTAGCCATTTTAAAATCCTGGCTTAAGGAATTGTGTAAGTTGAAGTCCACACATTTTAAAATGTCCATAGTTGAGAAGCTCTGCATTTAATGGCAGGACTTCTCATCTTCTGTTGCACAGTAGACTACCTCAAGCCTTAAGTGGGTGGATATGATTTGGAATGCATTGTCTGGTATCTTTTCTGGAATTTTTATTTTTTCTAGAATTCATGGAAAAGGAGAAATTCTTCTGTATAGGGCAAAATTTCATTCAGCAACAAGTAAGCAAGCAAAACTGCACTGTTTTCTTCACAAAGGGATCTCATTGTGAAGGGAACAAGTCCAGCTATCTGATATAACTGATCTGGAGACAGTTTCAGATTTATGCTTTTAGTGCACAAGCTAAACCGTGTTACTTATTTTGAGTGTGTTTCTCAAGCTTGCATTAGCTCTTGGAAGAGAAAGTTGCAGGCTTCCAACAAAGTTAAGAACAAGGCATGCACTTCATCAGCTGGAGTATATTAGTCCCTAAATCTAAATTATTTTATATGACAGGTTTTGGATCCAAATATGGACCTTCGAACTGTCAAGCATTTCATATGGAAAAGTGGGGGTGACTTGACACTTCACTACCGACAGAAGTCAACGTGAGCCAAGTGGTGGACCCAACTGGTTATTTAACTAATTAACCAGCTTCCTGTGCTGGTTCCACCTTAGTACTCTAGGAGCCCACTTAAATGCTACGTTCTGACATTTTAAATGCCTCAGCACAGACAGAATCTACTTGAGGTGACTAATAAATATGTAACATAGATTAAATCGGTATGATGTAAATTCAAGATTGTCCATAGCAAGGTCAAGCAAGAGTGATATAAGAACCCCTTGACTTGTTCCTATTAAGGTGTGTACAGAGACAAGGTGACCCAGTGCAGATATCTGCAGTTCTCTGTTTATTTCCAAGATTATCATCCTTCATTCACTCAAGCTTGATATGAAAACTCTTTCAGTCCTGCTGTTCATTCTCAGGTTTGTTTGTTTTAAAAAAACACCTGCATGTATTATACTTTGCTAATACATTCCATACAGTAAATTTTGAACACTTTGCCAAATAAATCTACTTACTGTGCAACAGATTACTTTTCTTGAAGTTGAACAGTCTTTGTAGTCTAGACTGGAGATGCTAACGTCCTTGCTGATGATTATCTTTTAACTTTGATTTTTCTAAGAAAACATTTTGATAGTAAGAATCAGTAGGCTGTGTTATTACAGGGTCAGTTCAATGTGTGAGCATCATGATGAATTCATTCAGCATCTTTAACTAGACTTCAAAACACATACATTCTGTTGTCCTAGAAGGTGACATACTGGTTCAGTTCCATAGGATCATATTCTACATTTGATAGTAAACTTGATCAGTGTGATAGCAAAAAAGGTTTTCCTCAAATTGTTTTATATGCATTTTGGGATATTTTTATTGATGATGTAAGCTGTACACACCTTGGCTTTTTTGTTTTTTTGCACTGTTTCTAAATATTTGACAGCTCTTATGTGCATTATAGTCTTGTAGACTCTTAATTTATTACAAAAGGTGGGAGGAAATACCCCAGTAGCTAAGCAAGGAAAACTGCATTTAAGTGAAACAGAAGCATTGTGATAATAGTGTAAGAGTTCTGATATAGACTATACCTGATAAGACACTGGTGGATTGTTTTAACTGTCGGGACATAAGAAAAAACACTGTTCCTACATTGCTTTTGCAGCATGGGAGCTGCTTGTACAATCACCATCATAAGTAGAGAGGAGGAGGAAGTAGATATTTGATCTAGCAGTCCTGTTGGGGCTGGACACGAGTTATACCAACCAGTAAAGAAGATACAGGGTGTTGTTTTTATTGACTAATAGTATGCCTTTTGAGTTATTCAGCAGCCTTTTTCTGAGTATTTTTCTTTTGGAGGAGAACAGTTTTTCTACTGACTGTTGGGCAAATAACAGCTGCTTTCAAGGGTTTTCTTCTTGTTTGTATTGTGTGGTGCATAACCACACTTTACTTATAGACATTGCAAGATTGTCAAAGTGACTGTGGTGCTGCAAATAAACATGTTTGGGTTGGCTACTTGAGGCAACGCAAGTCATTGTTTAATGGTCTGATTTGGAATTATGCTTGCCACAGGTCTTTCATGATTTTGGCATGTTCCTTTGTAGAAATGTCATCTTTATGTGCAGGAGTATAGTTTGCCGCATCTGTGCAATGTTGCAGTTTAGTGGAATAGGTGAATTAATTGGTTAAACCTAACTAAGTTATCCTGAATTAGTCATCTTTAAAAGTCTGTAATTCAATTTTATACTCTCCATATTCCCACCAAAAATAAATATTAACTCTGTTCTCCGTTTATTTTAAAAATTAGCCAATGTTTCAGTTTTATTTTCTACAAGTTTCAGAAAGATTAGCAGATGGCCTGCCAATGCCAAAAGGACAATTATGTATTTCACAATTGTATAGAAATAAGATTTACTGTATGACTGTTTTGCACTTGCTGTGTAATTTACAAATATTCATCTGGTATAGGAGATGTTTATTATCTGGTTAGTTTTTAAGTACATCCTGTATTTTCATGAAAGTATCTATTACAAAATGTTACAAAATTGAGCTCTGCTGCTTTCTTCAATTAAAATGTAGTGCAAAGTACAATCTGAGCATAGGACAATGGCTGTTAATCCTTGGCATTTTAGGCTATTCCTGGCAAAACCCTGTGTGAAATGTTGGAGGACTCCTGAGAGCAGCATGATTGTAAAACAGCCTTTTGAGAGAAAAGAAGCCAAATGCTAGCCGTGCTTATCTTTGAAGAGTGTTTTGAAACTGTGATTAATAGGTTTAGCCAGATGTAATCAGAGTAATTGCAAAAAATCCAAGAGTTATATCTCAGACTCTACAGGCCTCAGTTATATTAAATTTTGAAGTCCATAACAGTACAATTAGAAAAAGACTGAACAAGGATGGTTTGTTTGGAAGGGTTACCAGGAAAGCCTCTTCTCTCTAAAAAGAACATGCCAGTGTGGCTTAGGTTTGCAAAGTTGCACCTGAACAAATCACAAGACTTCTGGAACACTGTCCTTTGCACAGATAAGACCGAAGTGAAGATGTTTGGCCATAATGCACAGTGCCACGTTTAGCAAAAACCAGACACAGCATATCAGCACAAACCTCTCATACCAACTGTCAAGCACAGTAGTGGCGGGGTGATGATTTGGGCTTGTTTTGTAGCCACAGGACCTGGGCACCTTGCAATCATTGAGTTGACCTTGAGCTCCTCTGTATATCAAAGTATTCTAGAGTCAAATGTGAGGCCATCTGTCCGACAGCTAAAGCTTGGCCGACATTGGGTCATGCAACAGGACAATGATCCTAAGCATACCAGCAAATCTACAACAGAATGGCTAAAAAAAGAAAAGAATCAAGGTGTTGCTGTGGCCCAGTCAAAGTCCAGACCTCAACCTGATTCAAATGCTGTGGCGGGACCTCAAGAGAGCTCTGCACAATCAAATGCCCACAAACCTCAATGAACTGAAGCAATGTTGTAAAGAAAAGTGGGCCACAATTCCTTCACAACAATGTGAGAGACTGATACAGTCATACAGAAAACGATACCTTCAAGTTATTGCTGCTAAAGTTGGTTCTACAAGCTATCGAATCATTAGGTGTACTTAGTTTTTCACACATGGCTTCTCCATTTTGGCTTTCTTTTTATAAAATAGATGATGACATGGTGTAGTCATGTGCTGTTCATCTGAGCTTGCATTTCCCTACTTTTAAGAACTGCTAAGAACCAGATGGCTTTTACTATGTCCTGATACGTAAAACCATAGAACAGTGGTCGCCAAGCAGTGGGGCAGGGACCACTGGTGGTCCGTGAAAATTTTTTGGTGGTCTGCAGAGAAATGTCACCCCCAAAGCAATTAATCCGGGCTGCACGGGAACACAAGGCTGTGCCGCCCACATGGCCCACGGGAACACAAAGCTTGCATTGCTTGCATTGCGAACAACACGAGGTAGTGAGGGGAGAGGGGAAAGGGCAGAGGGGGGGGAACTTGCCCCATTCTCCCCATGTGCTTGGCTTGGCCACCGGGCTGCTTCTTTCCACTTCTTTCTTCTTCTGCTTTTGGTTGCACACAAAGAAAGCAGCAAACGTCTTTCTCTCCCCCAAACTCTGCCAGAAATGAGTCTTTGGGACCCTGCAAGGCATCCTGCTCCAAGAGGCTGCGCCGGCGCAACAAATCTCACAAAGACTCATTTCTGGCAGAGTTTGTGGGGGAGAAAGAAAGACTTCTGCTTCTGCTGCTTTCCTTGCATGAAGCCAAAAGTCTCTCCCCCCCCCCCCACCCCAGAACGGAGCTGGAGACGGTATCCTGCAATCCCAAATAAAGAATGATCAATCGGTAGGAAACGGGGTGGGGAATTTTCCTGCAGACTTTTTTTGGGATTTTCCCAGGGTCTCTGGTCCGCAGGATTTAAAATTATGAGTTTGGTGGTCCCTGAGGTCCAAAAGGTCAGCGACCCCTGCCATAGAATTCAAAAGAGGGTGTACTTTCTTTTTCATGTGACTATAGCTTGCTTCCAAACTACAGTTTTTAGTGCTATCACTAAGCAAAACTAATATAGATATACAAACCCTGGAGTCAACTGATTGCTGCTCTCAGGAGTACAGTAGTGTGATTGGAAAAAGCTGAATTCTACTGCAATTCAGAAACCAATTTCTGGAGCACGCACTTCTTCTGAACACTTCCTTACTCATTTGACCCGTGACCTTTGAACATTCCTAACTACAGTAACATTTTTTTTCTGGAAAAAACGTTCCTTTTTTGAGTTTCTTGTAACTTCAAATGGTCACTAAGCAACCTGTCATAAGTCAGGGTCTTCCTCTTTTTAATTCAGCACCAGTGGCAAAATGGCTTCAAAACCTGCTTACCCAAATATGCATGAGTTTCGCCGTTTGCCAATAAGCTACTAGAAGCTGCCAGAACATATGTTAAACTGAAAGAAGGCAAGGAAGGCACATTGGCTGTTTTTACTAAATCGCTTAATTCAGAAAAAGAAGCTCCAGACATATCTATAAAACCTGTGGGGAGAATAAAAGACAGAAGAAAAAATACACATGACAAAACTGTTGGATGTCCCAAACAGAACCCAAACAGTTGTAACAGCAGAGACAACATTCCTGCTTCCTCTTTGATATAATTACACTGAACATCACTGAGATATGCTAATGGTGTCTTCATTCGATTTGGTTTGTACAAGTGAGTGTGAGCCATCCTGGTTTGCAGCATACTCAGATAGGATGCCTATGAGTGACTTAAGAGTAGTGGCCCCCAACCTTTTGGGCACAGGGACCAGTTCTGTGGAGAAAGGTTTTTTCACAGACCGGAGGGGGTGTGGTTTTACATGCTGCCTGCATTCTGCAGATGGGGCTTCACTTGTTTGCGTGGCCCGGTTGCTGGCATGCCATGGACTGGTGCCGGTCCACGGACTGGGGGTTGGGGACCCCGACTTAAGAGTCTTCTCGAGCCATGCTGCCCTTGTTGTGGTGGTGTAGTAGTTAGAATGCAGTACTGCAAGCTACTTCTGCTGACTGCTAGCAGTTCGGCAGTTTGATTCTCACCACCTCAAGGTTGACTCTGCCTTCCATCCTTCCGAGGACAGTAAAATGAGGACCCAGATTGTTGGGAGCAATAGGCTGACTCTGTAAACTGCTTAGAGAGGACTGTAAAGCACTGTATATACTGTAAATCTACGTGCTATTGCCATTGCTGTACCAAAATAACGATAAGAAGGACAGAGTTCATCTCAACCATGGATGGATGATGCTGGAAAACTCTTGGTCAGTACAGGGGACATGGGTGTGAAAGTGTATATTATTGCAAGAAAAAGAACCACTGAGCAAATTGGCCTTCAAGGTGATAATATTCCTTTTACATCTTGCATACTTACCGTGTTTCTCCAACAATACGGCCTCCACCAATAGGAAGGCCCAGCATGTTTTTTTGGCATAAAAT